TGGTTGATAATCTTAGAGATCTTTTCCACCCTTGATGATTCTGTTCTATAATTCACCCGGGATTTTGTGCTGAGCCTGGCTGCCATGAGCCGCGGATAAAAGCGGGAATGGGAGAGTCCTTGGGAAGAGGCACCCTGAGCAGGGATGGACGTGAGCAGGCGGTGCCAGGGGTGGTCTCGGGGAGGACAGGGATTCTCTCTGTAGAAAACCCATTCAAGCACAGAGAACTTCCCCTTTCTGCCCGTTTCTTTCTTTTCCCCCTTTCCTTTCCCTCCCGCCAGCTCAAGCCAACGGCCTGCAGGAGCCAGAGGGCGAGTGCAGCAGCCTGGGGCTGATGCCCAGCGCCGAGGAGTCGCCCACAGAGCTGTCAGGCAGTGTCGCCCCGCTGGGCTCCCCACCGGCCTCGGAGCTGTCAGAGGGCACATCCGATGCCATCCGGCAGCTGAGGTGCAGGCAGCCGAGTCGGGCAGCAGCGTCAGCTCGGTCCCTGAGAGCGAGCGGGATGGGAAGAAGAGCAAACAGCACCTGTACTGTCCCACCTGCAAAGTGACCGTCAACTCCCTGTCCCAGCTGGAGGCTCACAACACCGGTAAGGGCATCACCCGCGTGGGGGACGGGGGGACGGGCCCCTCACGGCTCCGTCCTGGGCTCCATGCAAAGCCCCATCGTGCCCCATCACCCAACAGCCTTGCGGGAAAACGGCGAGTGTTAGTGACTGTTGTTTTAATTAAAAAGGGTTAATCAGGGCAGCTTGCAAAGATCAGTGGTGGCATTTTACCTGTGCTGCAGCTTACGGAGTGAATTTTAGCAAGGTCAAATGCTCTCTTATTGTTCAAGTCTCTTAATTAATGACGTTTTCAGATACATTTAATCAAGTGATTGGAGGCTATTTTCTATTCGGTTGCAGTTTGGCTTTAAGCCGATGGCAGCCTGAGCGCCAGCGTCTCGTTCAGACCCTGGATAATCCTTCCAAAGGCAGCACAGGCTGGTGCTTCGGGCTCCTGGGCGTTTTGAGAAGCCCCTTGGGAATCTCA